TTCTGTCTCTTTTCATATATTGTCATTTACATTCAGTATATCCCACTGTTGTGTAGGGCTGCTTGATTATGGCAAAAATCCTAATCTCGATTATTTGGGTCAATAATTGATATCACGATTATTAAAAACGATTATCCATTTACTTTGAAAACATAAATGTATTGAGAAAGGTGTAGTAACAGTTGATTACCCTGAACTTTAAGTATAATTCAACTGAAAAACCAATAAATAAATATATATTTAAAAAAAAAAAAAAAAAAATGTTTTATTTAGATTATGTTGTTTTCATAATCGTAGCAAGCCAAAATCGTAATTGCGATTAAAATACCATTAATTGAGCAGCCCTACTGTTGTGAAGATGTTTTTCACTGCTCTCAGAGTCTCTCAGGAGGAAGAAAATAATCTGGTCCATGTACCTTAAAGGTGGTTTAAAAAAAAGTCATATAGGATAGTTCCAAGGGAAGCTAATAAAGTGAGGTTTCTTAACATTCAGTAGTTTCCTGATTCAAACTGCAGTAACTAAAGTAATGCATAGAATTGGGTCAACGTTTCAACTAGATAGAAATCATGTACTTAAAACAGCATGTCTGCATTAAGTGTTCAAACGGCAGATTGGGTGCAGTAAAATGTTTAATGATGAAATTGGACAATGTTAAACTTTACTTGGCATTATACCCTTCCAACAATCTACAGCTCAGATGCTGATGTGTGAAAAGCCTAACAGCAATGCCTTAGAAAATGTCATGCAGCCGCATAAACAGTGAAGCCAACTTTATATCTGTGTGTTTGACAGTGAAATGATGTCTGTACTTTACTCCCCTTAAGTTAACACTATGTTCATTCAGAGTCTGGCTCTAATGTGTATCTGTCTGTAAATGTCTCCATGCTTTTACACTCCTCTCTGTGCTTAATAAAACAGTGTCATTGTTTTGATTTGATGGCTAAAGCAATGACATGGGAGCATTTGGAGATGTATTATGAGGATAACCAGGCAGAGCTTTATACTTATTCCTAATCCTCCCGGGGCTAAGATAAACACTGAGCACTGTTAAAACCAAGCAGAAGTATACAGTAGGTGTGAATGGGCACATCAGCAAAGACTGTGACACACTTTGAAGTGCACTTTTCAGTGAGGGTGAGTGTGTGTGTGTGTGTGTGTGTGTGTGTGTGTGTGTGTGTGTGTGTGTGTGTGTGTGTGTGTGTGTGTGTGTGTGTGTGTGAAGCAGTTGCATTGATGTATATTACACCATGTGAAAATAATGGATTGAAGTTTGTACAGTTTCTTGACTCAAGGTCTCCATTAATACTTCTTTCCTTCTGTCTGTCTTTTCTCTGCCCCTCACCTTCATTTGTCTCTTCATCATTCCACACCTCTCATTGAAATACTTATAATTCTCTCCGCCTGTGTTTCCCCTCCTGCTTGCTCTCTTTTTTTGTCCATCTACCACTCTCACCCGCTGTGCCTCGACCTCTCTGTGCCTCACTCCATCACCTCTTCTTTCATCAATCTCTCCCCCTCTCAATCTCTGTACTGCTTTTCTCTGTCTTCGTGCTCTTTTTCTTCATCTTTCTTTCTTTTCACTCCTTTCTTACCCTCCTTTTTTCTGTCTTTTATCCGACTCCCTCCCTCTCACTTCTGTCACCACTCCTCCTCTCACCTCGTATCCCTTTTTTTCTGGACCCCAATCCCCTTCTTCTCTTTCTTTTCCTCCACCCAATCTCTCCCACCCTCTTCTCTGTGAACCCATACTCTGTTTTCTCTACTTCATCATGTCTTCTCTCACCCTTCTCATCCCATTTCTTCCGAGTACCGATGACCCTCCTTTTTTTGCCTTTTCTTTCTCCACTCCTCCCTCACTCTCCTTGCTTTTCTCCCTGTGTCTCTGCGGCCTACAGACGTATTTACCCCCCAGACGACAAGCTGCTGTTGGAGAAGTATGAAAGCCTGCTCTCGGCCGCCTTTCAGACCTTCCTCGCCGGGCGAGCTGCCTCACTTCAAAAGGAAATGAATAATCCTCTGAAACGAATGAAGGCACGTACGTCAGTGGCAGACTGTCTCACACACACACACACACACACACACACACACACACACACACACA